CTTATTGTACTTAATTAATTAAGAAAATATTAAATATTAAAAAATACAGTATTTTTAAAGTTAAAATAAGATTAAACTAACGAAAACCAAAAGCAAAGTGATGGAGAGATAGGACGCGCTTGTATATCAATGACGTAATACGCGTAACTGAGGAGCGAACGAAAAGAACCGAGTCGAATTAAGTCGGAAAAAAGAAAGTGCGCGTTATAATCGAGAAAATGCGAGTATTGTATTAATCTTTAAAATATTGGTATTAAATCTGTCTTATAAAATCGCCACGACTCCCGTAAATCGGGTTATCCGATAAGAATAAAATACAATACCAATATATCCCTATCGTTGAAAAAATTCGCTTATTTTTTCTCGCCTCGAGTTTTGCTTAGTAGAAATGGCTAAAAAGTGCGCAAAATACGTACGGAAATACGTTATTACAGGACCACCTGTCTAAAAGACCACTTTTTGAAGGAACCGTAGGTGGTCGCCATAGACAGGTTTTACTGTATATCTTTTAATTTTACAATTTTTACATTTATACGTTAATAATAATTTTTGTAACTGACAATCAATGAGACGGATAAGCTTGATAATCCTTAGCAAGGTTAGCAATATTCGGTTTAAAATTTGTAAGTTTTAATCTTTTCATCGATCCCTCAATAGTGTTCTTTGACCACTTTGGCGACACTGACCATTTTACTATATATTCGAAATTACCTGGTTATTGTCTCTCGTCTTCGCTACTACATTTACTCTGTTGTCAATAATTATACTGTTAATAATATAAATGTTAATTGAAAACAGAATATTCAAAGTAGAGAAACGTGTAAAACAATAAAATATTCATAACATATTCACACTCTAAAATATACATAACTCTGAACACCTTAAAAAATACATCACTAAAAGTTTATTTTAAAATAAAAGTATAATACATAAAGGTAAATTAGATGTTAATTTAATTGTATCCATTATTATTTTTGATTATAAATTTCAAATTTAAAACCAATGTATAATCAATATAGTAAAATGTTGAATTTTTTAAAATTTAATTTTATGTTTTGACGTTATATAAAGTATATTTCAAGTTGTTATTTTTAATTAATAATACAGTTGAAAAATATATTAAAAGTGAAAATAAATAAAGACAATTTATGTGAATGAAATCGTAATAACAACATTATGTCATAAATATTTGAACTACTATAGGATCATAAAAAAAAAAAATATAATAAGAGAGCGCATTATGCGGTCGGTGTACCCAAAGGATTTTTCTATGTATTTCTATGCCCTTAAGTGTTTCTTCTTCGCTAATTAGCTAAACAATTGTTTACGTCTTGAGAGAATAATCTGTCAATCTTGAGAAATTATCCTTTCAAGGTATGAACAAATGGAACCTTCTCCTGGAACGCCATTTTTCACATTAACTACCGGATAATTAGTAGCGGATTTCTACCTGGGGCCTCATAAGGCCCCAGGTAGAAATCCGCTACTAATTATCTTAACTTTTTTCACCCGAGGCGCCCTAGGAAGATTTTGAGGTGGTGCGAGATCTCATTGTGGTGTCACCCCGTAGACTCTACGAGACATTAAATTATATTTATGTTTATAATAAAAATGAATGAATTACTTTATTATACATAATTACAATATATTATATTATTATTTATAGCTCTTTTTACTAAAACTACGTTCGTAATCAGGGGCACCCGTACATTGGGAAAATTAGGGCACGTGCAGCTCCCTTTGTCGCGGGTTGTCCTTTTCTTAATCCTCAAAGGTGCTCTAAAGTTTCATTTTATTTTTGAACTAGTTATTCATTTTTATCACAGAAAACTTTTTTACTGATGACAAAATTAAAATAAAAATATTTGTTATTAACCGAAAATTTGTTCGGTCGAATTTCGAGGTACTACTGTGTTTGATTAACGTGAATTTGATATAGCGATAGCATTGAAAGATTAGTTAACTGTGTTAATCAAGGGATACCTATATATGCATGTATCTTCTTTCAAAATGTATGTACTGTACTGTACGATGCACTTTTCTATAGTTTGTGCCATCCCCTTTTTTATTGCGGGCGTCGCTGTTCGTAATACTTTACACTGGTAAAATAAAAAATACTAATAATCAGCTATCTGGTCCTTAACTAATCGGAGTGCGAGGAGGCACGTGCCCGGGGCCGACTTTGGAGCTCCAAAATGAGTCTGTAGAATTAACAACCCGCAGTGTTTTTTGTAATTAATGTTGAATCAAACGCTAAAACTGTCCGGTATGGGCCCTGTGTATACATGTTTTATAATTGTGATAATCCATCGTTTAGGATTCCAAGACATTTTCAATCTTATATATTACTACGACTACATTAATTAAAGCACACTTAAAAATTATTAATACTACCACTCTCCAAGTTTCACGTAACCTCCTTTCACCTCAAAAACATAAAATTAAATGATTTTTTAATTAATAAGTAAACATTTAACACCTATATCTTTTTCGTGGATGGCGTAATAAATGGTAAGTTATATGCACATCATCAGTACCCAGATAATAGGTTTTCAAACTCAGCTGACTTTTCAAGAAACAGTCTGAAATGTCCATGGGAGTGGACTTCAATTTACCAACGAAACGTTAGAAATTTGTTGATATATTACACGCGGAAAAAAATTACGTAATAAATTATATCAATACACCCAAAAATATCCTACTAGTCCTAAAATCAAAATACACTAATTTGGAAAATATATAGGGATTATATTATATTTTAAAACGAAACAAAGAATCGGTTCAAATACTCTTTCCGATGACGAATTTTGACCTTAGGTGTTGAGTAAAGACTAGTTACAACAGAATTAGGGTGGGCAGGATCTAAAAAGCCGAACAATACTCTTCAAATACTAATCTGGTTAAGTTGTTAACCACCACTTATTGTCATACTAAGTGGCAGATGTCTGCACAGGCGCACCTGGTACCTCAAAATTAATATAAAAAAATTATTTAATTATTATTTTTATCTATTGAAACTTAATAATTATTGTACCAATAAGTTTCAATTTTCATAATTAATACATCTGAACATCAGTAACCTTTCAAATACAGCCAGGCAGTTGTAATTTTATATTGGTTAATTTTCAATGTTATTTTCCTATTTCTCACTTTATGTCTCACTCTTATGTCTCACTATGTCTCCTATGTCACCGGTATAGTGCCTACCAGAGTAAAAAACGTGCGCGTAGAATGCACAGACATTAAGTTACGCTCTTTTTTTATGGATACTTTATGTCTGTTTGGTGTTGTATTAATATTAGACAATAAAGGAACTAATGTTGTAAACCTGCTAAAGTCTGAAACACGAGAGTGTATAGGTGAAAATAAAGATTTTTTTTTTTTTACTTTTGACTCAGATCGCCTCTATTTGCTAATCAGAAACTATACCAGTACAATAAGTCTTATTAATAAACAAGGGCCAAGTACTGTACAGTATCTCCAAATAGCGAAAAAACTTCTTGATGCCGACGGTGTCCGCTATTCGAAGGTTATACTATAAATAATCAAGCATCTTTACTATACCCGATACGTTTAAAGCTATACATCAGTGATTCTCAAACTTTTTCGATCCACCGCCCCCTTTGTTCCATAAAGTTATACCCAACGCCCCCCAACCCATTTTCTCTTGTGTGAGAAAAGGATTGGAAATATTCTTAGGAAAACTTTTCTATGAATCTCACACTTTGTGCCCTTACTGTACATTGTTCTCATCATCTGGAAACCATTAAA